ATCAAATATATTTATTTAGTTAGTTAAAGAAAGCATATTCGTAATATATGCTGTATATTCATGCATACATACATGCCTATCTATGAGTGTGTGTATATCTTATGAATACACGACGGCACAGTCGATATATATACGTATATATATCGGCTGTGCCGTCGTGTGCTGGCGATTCGACGCTTGTCTCGCACTTGCCGACTTCGTGTGTGACAAAGAGGCCTGCTTGTGGTGAGAGCCTCAGTCCATTTGTGATGAGGTGTTTACGTGGAATGCAAAATGGTACAAGAAGCCTGTCAACAGTTGGTGGTTGTCAGCCCAACGGGCAACCTTGGCTTCGTTACTTGAGTTGGCCCGAGGGGGCAAGTGCCGCAAGAATTGCAACTCTCCACCGGACTGAAGGGTCGAGGTGTCGAGGAGGAGCGAGCTCACCTCCGAGTGGCCTAAACTCAGTCATCTGTTGTCTGTTGTCATTCCGTGGATTGGATCCAGGAGTCCCTTCTTCGACCGTCTTCGCATAAATCGACAACCGCCCTATACATGCTGTGAGTGTGCAACACACGAGGTGACCATAATACTACAACCGGTAGACGCTGAAGCGGCTCCGTTTGTTTGTTTGAGCCAGGCTTCTTTTGTCGCCTTTTGAATGTGAGAATTATGAAGACCGTCACTATGTCCATTTACCCATTACCTGACACGCTCGCAAACATGGGCCCAACAGCATTCACGATCGAGGCTATTGATCTGGACCAGGTAGAGTGAATTTTTAGTGGGTTAATGGGTTTTCTATACGCACCGAATTGTGAACTTTGTTGAAGGAATAAATAAAATACAGCCGGAATCAGGAAGGACTGACACAACAATTTTATCGTCATCATTCTCTTCACTTTCTGTGATAATTTGGCTCGGTGATGCAAATGGGTAGTTAATCAGAAGAGACAGGACACAATTGCCTTTTAATCGTCTCATGACCACAATTGCTTCATAAAATCAGGAAATCGGCTTTCTGTCACGTGAGATTTTCATTAATTATGCAAAGCTTGTAATGACTGCTTCGATAAAGCATTGAACGATAACCATCCCTGCCGCTCGACTGGAGGCGCAACACTTTGGGCTACAATACTTCTCAATAAAAACCATAAAACAGAAAACTATGCCTTTGTGAATAGCGGAATGCATGCGCAAACGTCAGTTCGTTTTGTTCACTCTATTTCGTTTAGGGTAATGAAAAATGGATGGTTGAATAGGTCTCGCGTTTCCAGTGAATTTCACACACTCTCTCTAGTCCCTCAGCAACACCAGCGGGGCTCGAACCCAGTTTGTGTTAATGAGATCTGTTGGAAGTCTCGAAAGCCTACTTATAGAAACGGAAAAAAATTGATTCGGAATCCCCCACAAGAATGGATCTTGCCTAGAATAAAGTACAAAAGTATAGCGGCAGAAACGGTCGAACCAACGGAGGTCGAATAACATCTGCCCGGGACCTCATTGACGCCAGTGGCGTATGAGCGTCAATGGACAGATCATGTGTCCCAGTAGGATAAGGTAGCTTCTGCGAGGTGGATGGTGCAGCCGACTATGAAGGAAAAGAGCCCAACAACAGCCAAGCCTTGCTTTTGGTGCCTTGAGGCAAAGTAGGCTAAGCATCTTTGAAGCACAGAATATCCGTCGGCATTATCTGGCGCTTGCTTACGCTGGTTACTTTGGAGTTGCTGATGAAGCTGAGGCCAGGTTGAATTTGCTTTGCGCTCCGAAATGGAGCCGACTTTTGAGGAATATATCAAACTCAAATAGATGTAGATTTCAAGGACGCCGGACATTTCCCCATATCACATTTCGTGGTGGGAGTGTCGATGAAGCAAAGTTGTATTTGCTATAGCAATCGACTACATTTCTTATTTTTCGCTTATAAGTAGGCTTTAGATACTACTGGTAGATCATATGCATGCAGGAGATTCACCATGTTTCGTTTAGGATTTACGTCTCGAAAACCTGTCTACAACCGAATAATAAGTATGTTCTTATTTACATGTGCCCCAAATAGTTACGACAGATCATGGCATATGCCTTTTGTCATTTAGGTTAAATGACCATTTTTGAATCATCACTCCGAATGCATAATGCTAGACACACGTCCGATTAAGTTGAGGAATATTTTATGCCAACTCGGGTGTACAAAAGACGTTGGTGGTACTATAACTAGGATCAAAATATACTACTTACTTAGTCACTCTAAGTGGCTTGATATGCCTAATTCCTTATTAAAGAATTCCCGATAGATGTGACACATATTCACACTAAAAAGATGAAAGACTTTTCTTTCTAAGTTGCTCAATGCTCTCTCTTCTCTCATTCAAATCAATCAACAACGAGTATCTCTTAATTAACTTCCCACCTGCATTCCTGACCTTTACTGTACTTCCTAATCATAGGATAATTTTGACATAATTCTTGTTCATCTTCAGTTCATATCCTTGAACACAGCATCATATGCAGACGCTCTTTGTGCATCTCCCCTGCGACAATTCCTCTGCTCAAGGATGTCCACGTAGCTCCTCATCTTAAATTAGCATGTAGTTTCACCGTATGAGACTACTTCTCAATTCCCTTCCAGTTGCTATTGTGGCTGATCATTTCAATGTGTTCTGCCCATTCTCGTACTTCGTTATCCATGATCCTGCATGGTCGCTGGTCTTCTTTCCATCGTAAATTGATTATTCATCTCGTTTCTCCAATGTACCTCAACTCACAGTCATTAAAACTGTTACATTGAGCCTCCGAGCAATCACTCTTGTTGGTCTCTTTATGCCATCTGGGTAAGTTTGTGGAGCGCTTTGTCCCGTCTTTCGGGAATAAACGAATGATACATTTCCTAAGCAGAATCCCCAACTTTTGGGCCAGTTCACGAAAGGGCAGACATCAAATTTTGTTCATTTGTCTTCCAAATCTTTTTCACAATCGTTCTCTTGCCATTTGCTCATCACCAACCGCATATTTTCATGAATATGATTCATTTGATTTCTGCTCCCGAGACGAATCCAAGTTAAATGTCAGATTTTTTCCCCAAGTATTCCGCATCTGCACATCTGTTTCCAAGAGACGCCCGAGTTGTTTTCACAACTTCACCTTTCCCGAAATCAATATCAGTAAGTCTCTTCTACTCCTCTGCATTCTTATTTTCAGTCTGTAGTTATGGCAAGATAGAAAATTAAGAATTCTTCAGATTTTGAATTTATTTCTTAGTACTGGTTTGATAAGATACTCATTTGAGTAACTAACCTCAACAACAATATTACCTCGTCCTCCTCTACCCCCATTGTGAACTACACTTTTTTATAAATCTGGTGAAAGAGTCTTGAAAAAGTCTCCAAATTTGTCGTCCAGGTATCGCAAGCTCGATCACGTTAGTCAATGTAAACGTTCACATGAAAAAGGGGCATGCCCTAGGCAGACAACATTTCTGGTCATAGATGCAACCATTTACTTTTAAATAGGTTGTCACAAACCTCAGGTTGATTACTCATGTTCGAGACAACTTGATCAAGTCCTCGTGAACAAGGTCATCTTCACTTTTTTATGGTATCTCTATTACATCAAGCCTGAAATCACTTCAACTTTTTTACTTGTTATAATCTGTAGTCCGTTAGAATCTTTTCGGTGAGAATCTTGCTCAGCTCCCATTTGAGGCTAAATTTGACATCTGTAAATTTAACTAACCTGGTCCTCGCTTCATAATGGGCTTCCAATTTTTGCAGAAGCTCTAATAATTTCTCATTAACCTTGTATCAATAATATTGCCCTATAAAATAAAAAAAATCCAGGATAACTGATTAAATACTAGCCCACTATGTCAAATGAACTATGATTGAACTATGAATGACTTCTTACTCTTGTTTGAAACGATGTCAAATAAGCACTATTAAGCTAAAGGAGGCTCCGACCGCAACTAAGGGCACGCCATCTTGGTTTTTCTATATACAATCGTATAGTTGTTTAAGCCTATTTAATTCATTACCCTAATGGTCTATACCCCACAGTTGCATACTCCTAATGATAATTTATTTTAAAATGCAAACCATTATTTCGCATTCATATATTGAGATAAAATTAATAACAAAATCGAAATATGCTGTTTTATGATAACCATCTCTGCACAATTCATCGCCTGATCTGATATCCATAACATCAAAAAATGGTAAATAATTATCCTATCCTAGTTCTAATGTCAATGTAATATTACTATCCCGCTGTTAAATTAAATACGAGAAATTATCTAAACTATCGTTTCCATTATGTCACATTACAAATGAAATAAACATATATCAAATTACAATTGTGTTGTCAATATACCCTCCCCCATACCCAAAACATGGGAGCTATACAAGCTCCCATTGCGAGTCTCTTCATCATTTCATTAAAGTTGTATATGTGCTACTCTTGGCAAAGCAAAGTTGTCTTTTAGCTGTATTTTGACCCGCACAATTCGTGAATAGCTCTATGAACTGTAATGTTAGTATGCATTGAAACTGAATCGATCACAATCTGCTAATGATATGACTTCATATACATTTTTTCTACTAAACATACAAATATTAAGTCAATTTCTCCACCTATTTACATTAGAAAAGTGAAAGCTTTCCTTGGTCGACCATAAATTGAGGGCGTCTTAGCGTTTTTTATGGAAAAATCAATCCATTTTAGACGTCTCTATTGCTCCCTTGCCTACACACACCTTTAGTGCGCTTTTAAGTCTAGTTTTAAGCTCCTCAGCAGTAAAATCCACCAGGAGTTCATATACATCCATATGGTTTTAATGAGTCATAAGTTTGTCCATTCAACTTGATCTAACTATGATAACCACTCCACCATCCCTATCTGCCTTCGACTTAAATAGATTATTTTGATCCAAATATCAAGTAGGCACATTCAGACTATAACATAGCTTTGGTATAATTACCTGTTAAAAAGAGGGAACCGCTTCTATTCTTTTATTATTGACAACTTATGCTTCCAATTTACATGTCAAATTAATTACTTCAAAATAAGCATTCTCCTCAATCGGAAGGCGAAATAGATCCCCCCGAAGTTCGCAAGGTATGCTGGACCAATTAAATCATTTTTCCCAAAAGCGCAAGTTGT